CTGTGAGATTGCTGGCTTTGTATTTTTTTTTTTTTTGCTGGCTTTGTATTGACTTGTTGGTGCTCTTTATATATGGAGGACCATAGATATATGTCCAGGGACTAATGAGCTCTAGGATGAAGTTGCCCCAGGTATGAAATCTTTCTTTTGGTGGAAGCATGCATGTGCATGCCAATCCCTGGAGCTTAGAGGAAGCACATGAAGTCCTCTTGCCCTGCTTCATAATCAACCAGAAATTTCTAAGAAAAAAATGAAGCCAGCCAAAAGCAAAATGGCAAAGGTAGGGGAAGGGGCACACATGTACAAAATCTTTGAAACAAGGTGTCCACAGAGAGGCACCTGACATGTGCCAGTGCTTTGTGAGTGGTTCTAAGCTTCAAGTTTCTAAGCACTTGGCACCATTCAGGGGCATGTGGGTGGCTTGTATGGGTGGTGGCAGGATGTGCCTCCTCACTGGACCTTGCCACATCCTCAGCCCAAAGGGTAGCTGAAGGAAGTAACTGTAGCCCCTCATTTATTGGAAGGTGATGGGGATGAGGGGAGCCTCATGACAGCCATGTTTCTGCCTGCCCTATTTGATAGCAAAGAAAGTGAAGACCCCAAGGATCAGGGTATGTGCTTAAGCCATAGAGCTGGTGGATGGCAGAGCAGGGGTCAGAATCCTGCCCTCTACCTCTCACACCAGTAGCCAGATGGAGCCTGGTGAGGTAAGGGCCATGGTGTGGCCCTGGCAGGCTTCCTGGAGGAGTGTATCTCACTCACTGAGCTGCGTCTCCCCACCTTTGGGTCCTGGACCAACCTTGAAACACTCTGCTTAGGGCCAGGCTCTGGATTTGTGTGACTCTAAGGGATCCTGGTAATGAAGGTAGCATGTTGATGCCGTATGTGATGCTGTATGTGTGTCGCCTTCTTATACCCCACAGCGTCTGCAATGCTGAGTGGGGTCTGGAGAGTGGCACTGCCATCCCCAGCGCTGCCCACATTTGCTGACTCTGAGTCTGGGTCTTGATATCATCCTTGGTTATTCACACACACATGAAGTTTGAGATAGATGCACCTCCTCTCCACTCCCGGTCCCTGAGAGAGAGGCCCTGAGGGCTCACACCAGCTGTCCCTGGCCTCCAGGGCAGTGTGCTCTGCAGAGAAGTAGAGTGCTTGGCCCCAGGCAGGAGAGGCCTGTGGTGTGGGGGAAGGTGGCTCCCTGTGTTGTCTGGGTGCAGGTAGGGCCCCAGGCAGGGCTGCGGGGAGAGGGTGGGTTTCTCAGGGCAGGCCTTTTGTGGAAGCCAGGCCTTTGAGACCAGCACCCAGGATGTAGCCAATCCCTCTGCTCCAAGGGAGAGGCTATGGGGGTGGCAAGGCTGGGGACACTCCAGCTTTCTGGCCTCTGCACATTTCTGCACCAGGCTCTTATCTCCTCCCCAGCTGTGGGACACGCAGAGCTGCAATGCGAAGCTGTCTGGATGATTCAACCACTCTGGGACTCCATTCCCCAGACTGTGCACCCAATGAAGGCAAGGCCTTCTTGTTCACTCTGTGTGTTCCCACCTATGGGAACTTGTTCACTATGTGTGTTCCCACCTATGGGAAAGGGGCCAGGGGCTGACAATGCCAGTGACATGAGAGGAGGGTAGGGAGAAGGGGGCTCTGACCTGAGTACCACAAGGAGCCTTAGAGGCTCATCTGGCATGTGGCCTTATCTTAAGAGGTCTGGAGGCCTGTTAGGAGGTGTTGGTGAGAGGACACAGTGGGACCCTGTCTGGAGATGTCCTGTTGGGGGCTGTACACTGGTGGGCAGCGCTTACCAGAGGATGGGCACACTGTGAAGCCCAAGCGTCCATGAACCAATGACATTCTCTTGTGGTCTGCAGAACTCGGGTCCACTGTGGGAAACTGGAAGAGCAGAGGCTTGAACTCCCAGCAGTGGCCTGGTGAGCCACGATGGGCTGGATGTAACAATGTAGGAGGGGAAAGGGGGCTTGTGAGGTGGGTATCCCCTCCACCTGGCAGGGAGAGGCAACCAGACCAAACTAGAGACTTGGAGTCTTTCTGAGCCTCTTTCCTTCCCTCCCTCAGTGGTCTTTAGGGAGGTTGCATGCCAAACTTCCTTGGCAAACCCAGGGTCTGACCACTGGCACCACAGTATCCCAGCATTACCAGCCCAGATGAGCAAGGTGCTGAGTTCTGAAGCATGTGCTGCAGCCTCCCAGGGATGGGAAGCTTTTTGCTAAGTGTAGACCATGTCCCCCCTGCTGTGTCCCATATCCCCCCTCACTGCCCCGTGTCCCCCTCACTGTCCTGTGTCCCCTATGGCATGTCACATGTCCCCCCCCCCCCCCAACACACACACCAGATCCCAGACCTTTAGGACCCTGAATACCTTACAGGCCTGTGGTCATCACCTCAGGGCCCTACAGCCCCTCTGCCCCTTGGTTGGTTGCCCCCCTTTCCTGAGGCTCTCTTGGTAGGGCCACTGAAGCTGGGGGCCTGTGCCAGGTCAGGGACCTCCATTTGGCAGCAGCTGTATTGATTGAGTGCTGACAGTATGTCCTGTGCTTGGCATCAGCTCTTTTATCCCCAGTATTGTTTTGATTGCTGCTGGACAGTGGGAGCTGAGGAGCCTTCTTTCTTCTTCTTTCTTGGAAAGACCAGTACCCACATTCCTGGCCTTCATTTGTGGGCAGGCTTCAGTCCCAGAAATGGGAAAGTAAGTTCCAGAGAGCTGGAGGCCGTGGGGAGAGAGCAGAGGCCTTGGCCTGGGGTGGGTGAGGCATGGGGTGCGAGAGTCCTGGTGGGGGTTCTTGACCCCACAGGGGCCTGATCTTAGCAGTGATGGCATTGTTCCCTTCTGTTGTGTTCAGGGTGGTGGTGAAGTGAACCACACCACTCATTCTTTAATATTTTAAACAAATTTTCCAAGATGAAACAGCAGAGGGGCCAGTGGTGCTAGAGGGGAGGGAATGTAGGGGTGAGCAGGGCCAGGGGGAATGAACCACAGAAATCCTCATATACTATGAGGGTGCTGGTTGCCACAGCAGGGTTTTATGCAGGACCTAAGAAAGCTCAGATATCCTTTTGTTTAGTTTTATTTATTTTAATTTGATGTGAAATTCACATAACATAAAATCTATCATTTTAGAGTGAACAATTCAGTGGCATTTAGTGCATTTACAGTGTTGTGCAAACATTTCTTCTATAGTTCCGGAACATTTCCCTCACCCTAAAATGAGACCCTGTGCCCATGAGCTGTTATGCCCCACCCTCTCCCCCAGCCTGGCAACCACAGATCTGCCTTCTGTCTCCATGGGTTTGCTTGTTCGAGACGTTACATATAAAAGGAACCATACAATTTATGACCTTGCGTGACTGGCTTCTTTCACTCAGTGTGATGTTTTTGAGGTTCATTCACGCTGTAGCATGAATCAGCTTCATTCCTTTTTATGACTGAGTACTATTCCATTGTGTGGATGACCACACTGTGTTTACCCATTTATCCTCTGGTGGACATTTGGGTTATTTCCACCTCTTTTTTTTTTTTAACTTTATTGTTTGTCCCAAGATGAACTTTGCCTCCTGAACCCTTATTTTGAGGTGCAGCAATCTCTGTTTAAGTTGTCTCCATCCCCTCATTGAACTACCCCCATAGGCAAACTCATCCTCTTAGGGTGGATACTCTTGGCTTTATGGCTTCCCCACAATTTGCTGTGCTGTACTTCTTGCCTGCTTCATTGGCTGTGATAGACAGGGAGATCCCACTCACCCTGGCACATTCTGGGCCTGGGTTCAAATCTTATTGTGTCGCCTTATAGCTCTGGGACTATGGACAAGCCACTCACGGTGACTCTATCCCTGGAAAGTAGGACCAGTGGGCCTTTCCTCTGGGCTGGGCAGTCACCAAGTATAGTCCAGAGCCAAATTCTTTGGAAAATGACTTTATAGTCATGTGGCTGCTCTCCCCTGGGGTGTTGGGCATGGAGCTCACGGGGCAGGTGTCAGAGGAGCTGGACCTCCAAGAAGGCTGGCCTCTCCTGGGTGTGACACCCCTGACCCTGGGAACCAGAGCTGCCTTGGAAGCTGTAGGTCCCTCTTCCATACCTGTGCTGGGGCTCTGTGCCAGCACCCTAATCCCCACCCCCACCCTCTGCAGGGGAGAGAAGAGGTTTGCCCTCTGGGACAGCTTGCTAGGGCATGGGAGACAATGATGTAATATGGAGAGTCCTGCACTACAAAGTGAGCACTCAGGAGACACATTTAGAATGAAAAAAAAAAAAATAAAGTTTAAGGGGAGGGGTGAAAGGAACCCAAATGTCCACAGATGGGTGAAGGGATCAAGAAATTGAGGTCTGTCCACACAATGGAATATCACTCATACATGAAAAGGAATAAAGCATTGATTCATGCTACAACATAGATGAACCTCAAAAACATGCTGAGCGAGAGAAGCCTGACACAAAAGGCCATGTAGTGTGTGATTCCATTTACACGAAGTGTCCAGAAGAGCCAAATCCAGAGACAGAAAACAGAGTAGTGGCTGCCAAGAGGGGATGAGAAGTGACTGCTGATAGGGATAGGGTCTCATTTTGGGGCGATTAAGATGTTCTGAAACTAGTTGGAGGTGATGGTTGCACGGCGTTGTGTATGTACTAAATGTCACTGAATTGTTCACTTTAAAATGGTGACTTCAATGTTATGTGAATCGTATCTCAGTTAAAAAACAAAATGGGCATTAGAACCTCCTCAGGTCCTAGGAGAAACCCTGCCCCTTTCACAGGTGGCAGATGGAAGCTGGAGAGTCAATGTCCTTTGCCAAGAGCCAGTTGGTGGGTAGGTGGCAGATGCTATTGGGACCCAGGTTTTGTTTTTGCTTCTCCAGGGCTAGTTCTGGCGATTATGCATGCGCCTGGGGCAGCTTCAGAACCCAGCTGAGCCAGCCCAGTGTCACTGGGCAGAGACTAGACAGACCTAAGGGTCTGAGCTCAGCCCCCACCTCTGCTCTCCTGCAGCATGGCTGACAAAAATGGAGCTCTCAAGTGCACCTTCTCAGCACCCAGCCATAGCACCAGCCTCCTGCAGGGCCTGGCTGCCCTCCGTGCCCAGGGCCAGCTCCTGGACGTTGTACTCACCATCAACAGAGAGACCTTCCATGCACATAAAGTGGTCCTGGCCGCCTGCAGCGACTACTTCAGGTGAGCACAGGTCTCGGGGGACAGGCCAGAGAGTATCCACCCAACTAAAAGGAAGTGATCTCTGTGTCAGCCAGCTAGCCAGCCAGCCAGCCAGGATGGCTCTGAGGGAAAGTAGGTGATAGTGGCCACACATTCAGTAAACTTCGAACTTTTTCTAGGTTTATAACTTCTCAAACTTTTAGGGGATGTTGTGCAGGTGAGCAGAACATGCCTGGGGGATAGAGGTGGCCCATGGGCACCCAGTTAGCAGTTTCTGCCCTGGGAGAGTGCCAGGGCTTGGCCTTGTTTTCATTCTGTCTTTATTTGACACCTGTGTATACCAGGCACTGTGCTTGACTTTGGGGGTCCAGCAGAGACAAATCTCTGCCTTCCTAGGTTCCTGTACTCAGGCTGAGGAATAGGACTGACATCTAGATGGGGGGGTCCCCAAGTGTGCCAGGCTGTGTTGTAGTCCCCTCACAATAGGTGAGGCCTTCCTGGGTGTACTGGTCAGTCTGCCGTGAGAGCCCTTTGCTAAAATCTTCCCTGTGTTGGGTTGTGTGGGGGAAGTGAGGGCCCCTTGGAGCAGGGCTAGGGCCATTCTCACTAGTTGGGGGCTGTCACGGGCTAAGGACAGTATCCCTCATTTCCTCAGTGACCAGCTGGCCAATTCTTCCTGCCAGGCTGTGACTCTGCCACAGAAAGCTGGGGTGCTATCCTAGGGTGGTTCTCTGGCCCCACGTTGCCAGTGGTAGCTGAAGTGCACGTATAGACTGTCTCATAGAGCCCCAGCCTAGGTGCGTTCCGCAGGCTGCGTGGTCCTTGAGGCTAGAGTGGCGAGGCTGGGATGGCTTGCCCGGTGCGCCCCTCAGCTGCCTGCCCCCCAGGCTCAACAAGGCTGTTCTGGGGAGCCAGAGCAGCCAAGCCATCTGGGGCGCCGTTTCTATTTTTATTCTGGATTTGGGGACGGGTGGGCCGGCCCAGCCAGAAATGCCCTTTAAAGGCTCCTCTGCGCTGGCACTGCAGCCGGCGAGGCCTTAAAAGGCAAAGCTCCCTCCCGTCGCTGTGGCTGCCTCTGCCTTCGATGGGCTGATGGGACTCATGGGGACAAGAAGGGGCAGGGTTTGGGGGGCTCCCCGAGCTCTGCTCCTAGAAGGCTCCATGGGGGTGCTGCTCAGAGTGTTGGGGAGTTGTTAGTTGGTGGCCCCGCAGGAGCACCAAGCACAGCTGTCCCCACTCTGGGACCCGAGCCCAGACCACCTGACTGTCTGACTGGCGGACAGGTATCTGTTGGATGAATGAATGGATGAGGGAAGTTCCTTCTCCTTGGTCAGCTGTCACAATGTGCACTTGCCCCATGAGAGGAACCTCTTACGAACTCCCAGAGGGTGCTTGGGTTCTTGCCTCTCTTCCTGATGGGGGCTTCCCCAAAGGCCATGGAGTACTGTGACCCACGTCCAATTTCTTTCACTGGTGCTCACATGAGCGCCACTTCCCAGAGCAGGACAGAAAGGCTGACAGCTGGTGTCACTCAAGGGGGGGTGGGGAGGGGGCTGTCTCACAGTAGTCTAGGGCTCCTGTGGGCCATTCTTGGGGGGCTTTCCTGACTGTCTGGGCCTCTCTCTGGAGATGATGGTGACTTTGGCAGGGCCTCCTAGTGGATGCTCTGACCTGGGGACCCTTACTCCCTCCCCACCGCTGTGTGTGACGGGACTGAGACTCAGCCTGGGGAAGGTGGAGCCATCTGCCCACGTGTGCCAGCTGGTGAGGGGCTGGACACTGAGAACCATGGTGCACAGTATTCTTGGGGTGCCTGCTGTGTGTGTGGTCTTACAGGGCTGGGTGCCACGGTGGGGCTGGCACCTGTCTCATGGCCAAAACCAAGGTTTGGCCTTTTCCTGCCCACCTGTGTACCTGCCCCCACCATGAGCAGCATCCCCACCCATCCCCTCCCACTGAGCCAACTGGGTCCCAGCACTCCACACCTCTAGGTAGGCTGGGCGTGGTCCCACATGGAGGGACAGAGTGGGGAGTTGCTATTTGTAGGAAGACACATGACTTGGGTGGATTAAAAATCTTTCTTTTCTTTTTTGCATGTCTTTAATGAGCATCTGGCCTCTTTCCCCTGGTTGGCTGTGCCCTGCTATGGCATCTAGGGGCCAGGCTATTCCTGGGTGGCCTTGAGGCCTCTTGGCAACCCTGAGCCCACATGTTGTGTTTCCAAACTTCAGGGCCATGTTCACGGGTGGCATGAGGGAGGCGAGCCAGGATGTCATCGAGCTGAAGGGTGTGTCAGCCCGTGGCCTGAGGCACATCATTGACTTTGCCTATAGTGCCGAGGTGACGCTGGACCTGGACTGTGTGCAGGATGTGCTGGGTGCGGCTGTGTTCCTGCAGATGCTTCCTGTGGTGGAGCTGTGCGAGGAGTTCCTTAAGGCCGCCATGAGCGTAGAGACCTGCCTGAACATTGGCCACATGGCCACCACCTTTAGCCTGGCCTCGCTCAAGGAGTCCGTGGATGCCTTCACCTTTGAGCACTTCCTGCAGATCGCAGAGGAGGAGGACTTCCTGCACCTGCCGCTGGAGCGCCTCGTCTTTTTCCTGCAGAGCAATCGGCTGCAGAGCTGTGCCGAGATCGATCTGTTCCGGGCCGCAGTCCGCTGGCTGCAGCACGACCCAGCCCGGCGGCCACGGGCCAGCCACGTGCTCTGCCACATCCGCTTCCCGCTCATGCGGTCGTCAGACTTGGTGGACAGCGTGCAGACGCTGGACATCATGGTGGAGGACATGCTGTGCCGCCAGTACCTGCTGGAGGCCTTCAACTACCAGGTGCTGCCCTTTCGGCAGCACGAGATGCAATCCCCACGCACAGTCGTGCGCTCAGATGTGCCCTCCCTGGTCACCTTTGGTGGCACACCCTATACTGACAGCGACCGCTCTGTCAGCAGTAAGGTGTACCAGCTGCCTGAGCCGGGTGCCCGCCACTTCCGGGAGCTTACAGAGATGGAGGTGGGCTGCAGCCACACGTGTGTGGCTGTGCTAGACAACTTTGTGTACGTGGCCGGGGGCCAGCACCTGCAGTACCGCAGTGGTGAGGGTGCTGTGGACGCCTGCTACCGCTATGACCCCCACCTGAACCGCTGGCTGCGCCTGCAGGCCATGCAGGAGAGCCGTATCCAGTTCCAGTTGAACGTGCTGTGTGGCATGGTGTATGCCACGGGTGGCCGCAACCGGGCCGGCAGCCTGGCCTCAGTTGAGAGGTACTGCCCACGGCGCAATGAGTGGGGCTACGCCTGCTCTCTGAAGCGCCGCACCTGGGGCCACGCGGGTGCCTCAGAGGGGGGCCGCCTCTACATTTCAGGCGGCTATGGCATCTCTGTGGAAGACAAGAAGGCGCTGCACTGCTATGACCCTGCCGCTGACCAGTGGGAGTTCAAGGCACCCATGAGCGAGCCCCGTGTACTTCACGCCATGGTGGGTGCTGGCGGCCGCATCTATGCCCTGGGTGGCCGTATGGACCACGTCGACCGCTGCTTTGACGTGCTGGCGGTGGAGTACTACGTGCCCGAAACAGACCAGTGGACCAGTGTGAGCCCCATGCGGGCTGGCCAGTCAGAGGCCGGCTGCTGCCTACTGGACAGGAAGATCTACATCGTGGGGGGCTACAACTGGCGCCTCAACAATGTGACGGGCATTGTGCAAGTATACAACACAGAGACGGACGAGTGGGAGCGTGACCTGCACTTCCCAGAGTCCTTTGCAGGCATTGCCTGTGCCCCTGTCCTGCTGCCCCGGTCGGGGACCAGGAGGTAGCTCCTGGGACCCCTGGGGCCTGGCCCGGCCTCATGCTATCTCTGTAAGGGCTGTGTTGAGCGCACACTGGGGCCACAAACCACAGAACACCCCCTGTCCCGGTCCATGGGCTGACATCTTGGGGCCCACTGTGTTGATAAGGCCCCCTCCTGGGGTCTCTCCTTCCTTCCTAGAGCAGATCCTGGCTTTGTGCCCTCTGAGGAAGCCTGCCAGTGGTGAGGCTGACATGTCATGGCAGCAGATTCACATCTAAGGAAAGGAGGTTTCCTCACTTGTCCCACATCCCCGCTCATCGAGGGAATCGGGGTCTCCTTTGAGGTGTTATGTGGCTTTGTCCCACTTCTTTCCTCCTCTAGCTCGGCAGTTTCAGACATTTGGATGTGAACTCATGAACATTGATCCCCAAATCCATGGTTTGCACCCTGCCCCCTTCCCAAGCTTCTCATGTCATATATTTTTTACAATAAACACCACCCCAAACTCTGTAACACATGGACCTCTAGGAGCCGATGAGTTGGCAGGGAAAAACCCAGCTCAGAGTTGACCTCGAGGGTGGGCATGTTTCTGTCTCAAGTAAGTCTGGGCTGCTTGGGTGGGAGGGTGGGCTTGGAGGAGTGTCTTGCACTTGTCTTCACGCCTGTCCTGGGTCCTGTACCTTTGGTGTGTTTGGTTGTTCACTTCCAGAAGCCAGCTCTCAGAGATGGTCCTTAAAGTTGGCCTTCCTTCCACCTGGCGCTGGGCGTCTCCTGGGGCCTTGATGAGGAGCAAGCCGAGATGCCCCCGTTCCCGTCCTCACCCCCTGGTTCAAGGGGCACACCTGCTTTAGAACTCACAGTGTGTCTGCTTTCCACAAGTCTAATAATTTCTATTTCTCTCCCTTTTTCCAGCCATCTACTCCTGCTTTGTCCCGTATTCACGTTGTCATGCCACCAGGCCTGTGCCCACTCAGCAAGGCAAGCCGGGTGGGTGGTGTGTCCTCTTCCTTTCAAGGGCTTTGTGGCATCTCTGGCCACATTTGTTTTGGTGTCAAACCTCTAAAGCTGGTTTTTGGTTTTTTTGGTTTTATTTTGGTTCTGTTTTGCTTTTTTTTAAGACACCAGCATTGCTGTCTTATAAATGGGATTTGTACCCTTGGGGCAACTTAAAGTGTCTCTTCTGCTGCTAATGGACGATTGATGTCGTGTCTCTGTGACCCACTCACCGTGTAAAGAATTAACCTCATATCTTAGCAGATGTCATCTCCTAATGTTTTCCTTCATTTAATAAAAATGTTACGGTGAAAAGATGGAGCAGGCCCAGTACTGAGCTTGTAGGGCCTGATGGGTCACAGATTCTTCATGTCCTCGGTGTAGTTAGGGGCTCCTCTCCCCTCTTTGCCCTTTTCCAGTATTGCAGAGGAGCTGGAAGGAGGGCTGGCCACTGGCTCAGGGGTAGGGGCAGTAGGAATTGTGGCCAGAACTTCTACTGAGTGCCTGGAAGACAGAGGGCAAATCTGCCCTGGGCGGGGTGGCCTTTGGAGAGACTCTCTCCAGGTTCTTCCATGAGCCTGGCGGCTTGGCCCCCTGCCACCAGACAGCCCCCAGCTCTTGGCAGGTTGTCTCCATCTGCTCAGTACTGGGATGTGAGATTGGGGATCTGGGGAGCCCCTCTCCCTGGAGGCCATGATGGGGGAAATACAGGGCAGGTCCTAAAGGAAGCATGAAGTCATCACCATTCCATATGGGCCTAAGAGCTCTGTGAATTGCCCCCAACCTCTGCTCTCATGGCTGGCCTCGCTGCGAACTGGCCTGTATGTTGGAGAATGCCTGCATTTCACAGATAGCTTTCTGAGAGGGGAGGCTTCCAAGATCACCCTCAAAATGCACTTGCAGGCTGGTGCTCCTGTGCAGCAGCCATCAGGGTCCCAGAGCAAGGCTGGATGTGTGGGTCGGGGGCAGTGTTGAAATAAAAACTTGGTTTGGAACCAGGAAGGAGCCCGTGCTGCCAGGGGCATTGAAACGAAAGCAGCAGCCCTTGGGGACTTACCAGAACATTCCAGTCCCTTTTCACCACCCCTCACCCCGACCTGAGCTCCCCCAAAAAGAACCCTTCCCTGCTAGAGGCACGGCCCCTTCAGGGGGGCAGTGAGAATCTTTTGCCAGCTGCAAGTCCCCCCAGATCAGCTCACACCTCAGAACATCTTGTCCCCAATGAGCTGGCAGGGGTGCCGGCGCAGGGGGTGGGGCTGCAGAGGGAAGGGGGGCGCTGCCGTATCTAACCGGGTCGATTGTGCATAACCGTCTGGGCTGGTTCATGGAATGTTCTCAGGGGCCCCCTGCCCCTCCCTCTTCACCCCCCCCGGAAGAAAGGAAAATTATTTTTCGTATTGTAAACTTTAAACACGAAAAAGCTGTTTTTAATTTAGCAGAAACTGGCTTGAATCTTCACTTTGTGAACGTTTGTGTCCTTCAGAGAAAGGCGGAACATGCATTTGCACACACATGCTTACACAAATGCACGCACATGCGTAAGCTTACATGCACACCTGCACTCATGCATTGTGACATGCACACTCACATGGTCACACATAGTTTTGCTCATGCTCAACGACATGCTCACGTGCTTGCTCACACAAACACGCTCACACTCATCCTTGGACCAGCCTGGGCCCCTCTGCATAGCACCCTGAAGGGGTCTGGAGCCTGTCACCTCATCTCCTTTCACCTTCACCCAGGGCAGCTTGGACCATGAATGGCCAGCCACTGCGTGTAGAGACTGAGCTTGGGGAAAGCCTGTCTGCTTCCAGATGGCCTGCTTCCCCACCAAGACTGTGGATGCGGCCGGCAGGAGCCTCCCTCCACACCTGGGCTTGGGCTGTGGGAAAACACTGTCTCCTGGGACAGTGGGATTCAGGCCCGCTAGAGGCAGGCCAAGTGTGACTTCTGGGGCCTCGCAGCAAGTGAGGCCAAGGGGGCCTCTGGGGAGCCGTGTGAGGTGGGAATCTGCCCTGGACCTGGCCAGCTTGGAAACCTGCCCCTGGCTTTGTCTTCGAGAACGTAGCTCCTTCTCCTGTGTTCTCACAGGCCCCAGAGATTTTGCTTCTCGTGGTGGAGACTCGGTGCACAGGTTTTATTAGGGGCACCTGGCCTTGGAGGCACTGTCGAAGTGTTTGCCACACAAATGAGAGGTCCTAGGATGGGAGGTGGGAGCAGAGCTTCATCCACTCCAGTGGTTGTGGGTACCATCTGCCTGCGTACCCCAAGGGCAAGAAGGCCATGATGCTGCCTGCACTCTTGCCTGCAACAAGGTACCAGCTTACATCTTGTGGCTGACCCTGCTAGTTGCCATCCTGGCAGCCATTTCTCCCTCCTTACCGACAGAGCCCTGATTTGGTGCCAGCAGCAGTGTGCCCAGCCTCAGGGGTTAATTTAGGATCTGGCTGAGCCATTTTTGGCAATGCCTTTTGCTGGGGTTGTTTTTGATCTGGGCACATTTCCCAGATCTGGCCAGCAAGCTTTAAGAAGAGGTCTGGGGTGGGGGTTTCTGGACACCCGAGAGGCCTTATTGCCCCCTTTCCTCCCTTACTGCTTCCTGTGAGGACACAATGCCAGGAGCTTCTGCAGCCATCTTGTGGCCATGAGGAGCAAGTTAAGTGAGGTGCAGAGATGCCGCCTCCCAAGGCGGAGGCCCTGAAATCACAGGGCTGCCTGTCCCACCCTGGAACCTCTGACCTTCAAACTCCTTTTATTTAAAAAATTAATTAATTAATTAATTAATTAACTTTATTTATTTATTTGACAGAGAACATAAGTAGGGGAAGTGGGAGAGGGAGAAGCAGGCTCCCTATTGAGCAGGGAGCCCAATACAGGGCTCAATCCCAGGACCCTGGGATCATGACCTGAGTCAAAGGCAGATGCTCAATCAACTGAGCTACCTGGATGCCCCTCCAAACTTTTATTTTTTATTTAAGATTTTATTTATTTGTTCATGAGAGAGAGACAGAGACATAGGCAGAGGGAGAAGCAGACCCCCTGCAGGGAGCCCAATGTGGGACTCAATCCCCAGATCTGGGATCATGATCTGAGCCAAAGGCAGATGCTCAACTGCTGAGCCATCCAGGCTCCATTAAAAGGAGTCCCCCAAACTCCTTTTAATGAGAAATCACAATGCCTGTGTTGCTTAAAATACTAATAGTCAGATATTCTAATACTTGTAACTCAGATTTCAAAATTACATTATAAATGTAATATGCTGGGGGGGTACCCATCTTATATAAGTCGGTTTTTATTGCAAGCAACAGAAACTGCCTCTGGCTGATTTAAAGGGCAAAAATGTTCATTTCCTCACAGAAGTGGCAGGAAGGCTGGAAAATCAGGCTCAGAAAACAGTAGGAACTAAGGGCACGAGGCAGCTGGGGTGATCAGCTAAAATCATGCCAGGGAACTAACTGGTTGGTGAGGACACTTCTGCCATTACCATGGAATCCAGATGCCTCAGTTGGCACTGCCATCTGCCCTTGGCACTCAGCCTTGCTGCCCCTGAAAACCAGATGCTCCCATCTCAATGCTACTTTTTGCACCACTTGTTCCAGAATGCAAACATCCTGTTGGCCTAGCCCACATCCTGTGTGTCAATGCACCAGCTGCCCATGGAGTGGGGAAAAGGAGTATATCAGTGTACTAGCTGTTACTGCTGGATAACAAACAATTCCATGTCTCAATGGCATGCAAGAGTGAATGTTTGTTTTTCATGTGCCTGTGACTAGGCTGGAGGGTGCTCATTCTAGGCTGCCCTTGGCTGGGCATGCTCTGCTTCCAGGTGCAAGGCTGGAAAAGGCAGGAGTCTCAGATCCACCTGTCTTACATCCTCCTCGGACTAGCTGCTGGCCAACTTGTGTTCTACACTGGTACCAGAGGACAAGTGGAATCATGTGAGCCTACCAGGGTCCAGATTTGGAAATCATATGCTGTTTTTTCTGCCCAGATGCCTTTGGCCAAAGCAAATGATATGGTGAAGTCTAGAATCAGGGCTGGGGACATATCCTCAGACTTAAGAAAGAAGACCTACATAGTGGTGTTGCAAAGGGCAGGGCACAGGAAAAGAGGGGGACTGAGGCCCATAGTTTGATCAGTTGTACCATTGTTCTTGAGGCTTCTCTTGTCGGTGGGGCTTACTTGACCTTGTGGGAACTTCCCAGACTTGGATGGGGACTCAGATGCTGGGCCACCAAAGAGAAAAGCCTGCTCTACTGCTCCTACAGACAATCTACCCCCTGGTGGCCAGTCCTCTTTTTTGTTATGTAGGTTGGGGTTTTATTTATTTATTTTTTTATTGGATCTTTTTTTTTAAATTTTTATTTATTCATGATAGTCACATAGAATGAGAGAGAGAGAGAGGCAGAGACACAGGCAGAGGGAGAAGCAGGCTCCATGCACCGGGAGCCCGATGTGGGATTCGATCCCGGGTCTCCAGGATCGCGCCCTGGGCCAAAGGCAGGCGCTAAACCGCTGCGCCACCCAGGGATCCCCTAGGTTGGGGTTTTAAGTGTCCTGGGCTTTTGGGCTGTAGGGAGAGGGTCTGTGTGGTGAGTTCAGTTGGGGAGTCTGTCCAAGTGTCAGGGCACCGTGGTGTCATTGGAAGGCCTACCCCAGACATCTCCTCAGCATGGGTGGCTGCCAGGGAGGCACTGGACTATTGGTGCTGCTCCTGTCCTGCCGTCCCATAATGCCATCCCCTGGATCCCTAGCCCCTTAGTTTCAGCTTTGGCAGCCCTGCCCTGATCCCCCCTCACTTACACTCAGCCTGGGATGGGGGGACAAGGGGCCTAGGTCCTTAGCTAACCTCTTCCTGTTCAATGGTAAAAGGTGAGTTCCATGCCTGGTATTTCTGGCTTCCTTCAGGTTCTTCCCTTTTGCTTCATAATCAAATCTGGCTCTTGCTTTGCCTTTCAAAACTTTGATGAGGGCCTGGTTTGGAAGTCAAAGACGGGGTCTGGATGGTTTTCCTCTTTGCCTTCCTGCTCCAATGGCCCGAATTCACCTCTATGTGATGTGGGTACCCCGGATTGACTAAGATTCCATATAAGGCAGTGTAGAAAAGCAAGGCATGAAAACTAACATCTCGAGGTAGGGTTTTCTTTCCTAACAGTTATTGAATACTTGCGAGGAAGCAGGCGCTGAGCTAAGTGCTTTACGTGCATTATCTATTTAATCTTCCCAAGAGCCTGCAATGAGGAGTACCACCATCCACATTTAACACAAGCCAGCCTGGCTCAGAGAGGTGAAGTCACTTCCCCATTGTCACATGGGTGGAGAATTGGTAAGGGCTGGACCATACAGGAATGCTCAGGAGTTTAGGTTTATTTTATCATTTTTGAAAAAGATTTATTTAAGTAATCTCTACACTCAATGTGGGGCTTGAACCCATGACCCCAAGACCAAGAGTTGTGTGCTCCTCCAACTAAGCCAGCTAGGCACCCCAGGAGTTTAGGTTTTAATTTAAAGCTTGTATTTAGAAGCTTAATGCTGAGGAGTGCTATGGCCTGGATGCAGAGGAAGGGCATTCTAGGCAGGGAGACAGCCTTTGGCAGAATGCAGCAAGGCTGGAGTGGCGGACGTGAGAAAGGGAAGAGTGGGAGATGATGCTGGAGAAGCTGGCCAGGAACAAATGGAGTCAGGCAGAACTCTGAAGCAAAGGAGAGAAAACCATATCCTGCAGGTAGCAGGAAGTGGCTTAAAAGGATTCACTTAGCTCACCCTTGGATGTGCTGTGTAACTAAAGTGAAACTATTCAACAATTGGACACTCCCAGCCCCTTTGGGTCAGGACTGGCTGGAAGAGGACCCAGGGTCGGGTGTGCCCTAGAGTGAGGAACACAGCTCTCCTTAGGGGTTAGGATGGGCTTTTGGCATGGGAGGGGGGGACATTTAAGGTGGGTTTTGAGGGATGAATAGGAGTTTCCCAGGCAGAAAAATGATTCACTTAACAAACACTTCCTAATTCTCCATCTGTGCCTAGTTTTGTGTTAGTTCTGGGGATCCAGGAAAACAGAATGAATAGGCAAGTATAAAATGAGGCTTAGGAGCACCTGGGTGGCCCAGTTAGTCGAGCGTCTGACTTGTGATTTCGGTTCAGATCATGATCTCATGGATTGTGAGATTGAGCCCTGCATCAGGCTCTGTGCTCAGCAGGGAGTCTGCTTGAGATTCTTTCCTCCCTCTCCCTTTGCCCCTCCTTCCACTTGTGTGTGCATGCACACATGCTATCTCTCATATAAATAAATAAATCTTCTAAAAAAAAAAGAGGTTTAAAGTGCTCAGAGCCTCAAGGGATAAAGAATAAACCTTTTTTTTTCCTTTTTTTTTTAAAGATTTTATCTATTCATGAGAGACAGAGAGAGTGGGAGGCAGAGGCAGAGGCAGAGGCAGGCTCTGCAGGGAGCCTAATGCAGGACTCAATCCCAGGACCCTGGGATCACAATCCGAGCTGAAGGCAGACATTCAACTGAGCCACCCAGGCGCCCCAGAGAATAAGCCTTAAGACTAAGCAATTGGTGTGTCTGTGTCTTTTGTGCATTATACAGGGAACTTGAGTCTGGGAATGTTTGGGTAGGGTGAATATACTTTCAGCTTCTGGTCTCAGTCGGTCTAGAGGGGAGCAGATAGGACCCTGGAAACAGCTGCCTTCAGAGAGTGGGGTGTTCCCAGGTCATGGGACACACATGCAGGGATATATTTCAGATAGGCCTTCAAGGAGGGTCTCTCAGAGGAGAGACCTGAAAGATGAGAAGGTGCCAGCTGTGAAGGTGCCACAATGACGCAGAAGCAGTCAGCAGAGGCGACAGGGCGTGCAGAGATCTGGAGGTGGTACAGCAAGGAGGCCAGACTGGCTGAAATGAGAGGCCAGGGAGGCAGAAAGGGGATGAGGGCCTCCTGAGTTGCCCGGAGGAGGGTGGATTTTTTTTTCATGAGTGTGATGGGGATCATGAGATCCACCCTGATTTACAGAGGCCATGGGCTGCTCTGAGAAGCCTGCCCGGGCCACACTGGCATTAGCAGCTTTCTTTGATGAGTGAAAAAAGAAAAAATAGCAGGGTTGGGTTCTGCCCTGGTCACCAGACACTTCAGCCTCGCCTTCCTCAGGGCTGGGGGTCAATGGAGCGGGAGGAGGGCTTGGGTCCCTGTCCGGCATTGCGCAATAAGCAGGCTCATTGCTTCCTCTGACTCATCACCAGGGTTTAGGACGGATTGAGTTACCGCCTGGGTGTGGGGTGAATGGGGGTGAGTAGGGCGAGCACTGGCTCTTCACCTCTGCTCTGCGGGCATGGCCCGGTTTGGTGACCTGATAACCCCTGCTACCTACCAATTCTTTTTTATTTACTCTGCCCAGAAACCAGCTTAGTGCAGGCATATGTAAGTGATCAGGGTAACCAGCAATTTTTGAGCACTTGTTATAAGCCAGGCACCTGACATGTGTTAACAGCCTTTAAACCTTACAAAACCCACTGCAGCAAAGGAAGCTGAGCTCTGTCATCAGGCCTGAGGTCTAGTCCTGGCTCTAGCACTTAACTTGGTACAGGCAGCTGCCATTCCTGCTTGGTCTCTATTTCCTCTTCAATCTTACAAGATGATGGCTGGAACTGGAAACCATATCTGTAGAATGCCCAGCTCTGCACCTGACTCCCAGAAGCTGTGGTCTCAGTGCCAGAGACAGAAAATAAACCTCAAATCGACTTCAGAAAAAAAGAGAATTACTAGCTCATGAAAATGCAGTACTGGGATCCCTGGGTGGCTCAGCATTTAACGCCTACTTTTGGCCCAGGGCATGATCCTGGAGTCCTGGGATCAAGTCCCACATTGGGCTCCCTGCATGAAGCCTGCTTCTCCTTCTGCCTGTGTCTCTGCCTTTCTCTCTCTCTCTCTCTGTGTATCTCATGAATAAATAAAATCTTTTTAAAAAATGAAAATGCAGGAGTATTTAGCTTCAGGCATGGCTGGATCCAGGAGTTCAGTGTCTCTCTAACTTTGGCACTGTTTTTCTCTGTGTAGGGTCACTCTCTTGGGACATCTCTCTTCAAGTAGTGACCTCTGGCACTGCAAATCTGTGTTATCCTTCAAACCAGTCATCCAAGGAAAAAGGGTGCTTCTCTTTCCAGTGGTCCAAGCAAAAATTCCAGAATTGCCTGTCTTTAGGCAAATAGGATCACATGCCTGCCTTGAACCAATCATGACAGCAAAGCCATGGGCTCTGATGATTGGCAAAGACTTCCAACTTGGGAAGGTGTGTTTGTGGGGAGAGAGGGTAATGAAGCCCACCCCATCCATAGATCATGGATTGAAAATTGCAGAATGTTTCCTGAAGGGCAGTTCATTTGTTGGCACCCAAAAAGGGAGGGCAGATGCAAGCATCATAGGCAGAAAGGTCAGAAGATCATGAAAATGCTCAAAACCATATGAACAAAAAGGATAAAATAAAATCATGGTAGTGCCCAGGGCACTCCAAATTTAAATTTATCTATATATATTTAATATAAGGATATTTCACTAAACTGTTGTAAAGTGTAAACAAAAAGCACGTTCATAAAATACTGGTGTCTCCCTATGATCACCACAAGCAACCCCTCTAGCCATTCCCTCACCCTAGTAAAAACTGCGCTTTTTAAAAACCAATCTTTCAGGACACCTGGGTGGCTTAGTGGTTGAGCATCTGCCTTTGGCTCAGGGTAGATCCCAGAGTCCTGGGATTAAGTCTGGAGTCAGGCTCCCCAGAGGGAGCCTGCTTCTTCCTCTGCCTATGTCTCTGCTTCTCTCTGTGTCTCTCATGAATAAATAAAATCTCTTTTTTAAAAATTTAAAAATCAATTTTTCGGGATCCCTGGGTGGCTCAGCAGTTTAGCACCGCCTTCAGCCCAGGGCGTGATCCTGGGGTCCCGGGATCAAGTCACACGTCAGGTTCCCCGCATGGGAGCCTGTGTCTGTGTCTCTGCCTCTCTCTCTCTCTCTCTCTCTCTCTGTGTGTGTCTCTCATGAATAAATAAATAAATAAAATATTTTAAAAAATAAAAATCAATTTTTCTTTTCTCTTTGCTTCTTTCTTTTAAGTGTGCTTTTTGTACAATTAGAGCTATCGCACATTCCCCTGGCTGCTCCTCTTGGCTCCCACCCTGTCCATGCCTAGAAACCCCTGAAGCCTCCTGAATATAAACCAATATTTGATATTGGTGGTCATGGTCCCTCTGCTTGGGAAGGGAGAATTAGATGTCAGAACCTTTCTTGTTTCCCTGGTTCACCCTCCTGCCACTGGGAAGACCCTGCTATCCTTCTCACTGCGGGATGTAGTCTAGGTGGGACTTCTGGGCCTTTCCTTTAGCTCCCCATGGCAAACCTATGTTCCTTCAGGATTAGGAGTCCAGAGAGTAGAAACTGGTCAAATGTAAGGTGATAGGGAAAGCAAGATGTTAAAGATGATCTGTTTTTTTTTTTTTTTAAGATTTTATCCATTTATTCATGAGAGACAGAGACATAGGCAGAGAGAGAAGCAGGCTCCCTGCGAGGATTCCGATGTGAGACTCGATCCCAGGAGCCTGGGATCACGCCCTGAGTCGAAGGAAGATGCTCAACCACAACAACCCAGGCGCCTCGATGCCTGGGATTTGGGGCTGTGGAGGCTGCTGGCAAGGTTCAGGTCTCAGTTCAAATGCCTCCCTACTTCCCTGACAGTGGTGGCTGGGAGCCTCCCTTCCTATCATCAATATCCTGCCAGTCCATTACTAGTTTTATTTTCCACATCACAATTATCTCCATCAGAAATGTTCTTGGGTCATCTGTTGGTTGCTTATGTCTGTCCCCCCTCCTAACTGCGCACCCCATCAGGTCAGGGACCACATCTGCTTGCTCACGCCTTTTCCCCAGTGTTTCTGGCACATACTGGCGCTCAATAAATATTCGTTGAATGAATGAATGCATGAATGAGCAACTCCCTGGACTGGTTGGTCTCAAACTAGTCCTAGTCCCGGCTCAGCATCGGGGTGCTACCTGTCCTTGTGGGTTGCTGGCCCCATCCTTGTAAACTGGAAGGTTTTGGGTCCGGCGGTCTCCTTGGGGGCTCCGGCGCCCCAGCCGGTCCGCGAACCATGCTTGTCCAACAGCCAGGCGGCCGCTGTCCAGCGGGCCAGGAGTCTACTCGCTACGCATGTGCCCAAAACCTACTCTCGCTCCCACCTCCCGCCCCTCGCCTCCCGCCTCCTCTGCTGGACCCAAACGCGCCCCTGAGACGTGCGCATGCGCAGTTGCCCCCGCGCCGCGCGCCGCTCCCGTACGCCTGCGCCGCACTCACGACCACCAACGCGCCTGCGCACTGCCCGCCGCCCGCGGGCCCGGCCGGCGCTTGCGCGGTGGCACTGGCGAGTGGGGGGGGGGTGAGGAGGTGGAGGAGGAGGAGGAGGAGGAGGCGGCGGCGAGAAGATGGCGACTTCGAACAATCCGCGGAAATTCAGCGAGAAGATCGCGCTGCACAACCAGAAGCAGGCAGAGGAGACAGCGGCCTTCGAGGAGGTCATGAAGGACCTGAGCCTGACGCGGGCCGCGCGGGTAAGGGGGCTGTCCGCGCCGACCCTTCGGGGCCGGGAAGAGAGGGAGGGGGCGCGTGTCCGGCGTGTGCACGGGGCGGGGGGCGCGCGGCGGGGGCGGGGCGCGTGCGTCGGGGCGGGGCTTGGCACAGCCAGAGGGTACAGGTGTCCCTACGCCCCGGACATCGTGGGCGGGAAAGGTGCCCCCACATCACCGGTACCTGAAAGGGTTCAGGTGCCCCCACATCATTGCTACCTGGAGGTGGGGATAGGTGTCACTACATCATTATTATCCGGAGAGGACAGTGGCCTCTACATCATTACTACCTGGAGGGAATAGGTGCCAGCCACCACATCACTGTACCTGAGGAGGGACAGGTGTCTCTATATCCCTTCTACCTGAAGGGGTCACATGCCTCCATATCACTGCTACCGAGGGGAGACAGGATGTCACTGTGAGGTGTATGAACTGGGCGCTGCTTGTAAGCATCATTGTTGCCTGGGGAGGGGGATAGGTGTTTCCATATCGTTGGTACCTGGTGCAGGACAAGTGCCCCCACATCACTGAGATCTGAGGGGAACAGCTGTCCCCACATCATTGCTATCTGAAGGGACAGGTTCTTTCTACCTGTGTCACCTGTGCCTTCACTCCCTGGGTGTTGGAGGAAGGACAGGTATCCCTATTTGCAGACTTGAGGTGGGATAGGTATTTCTCCCTTTTGGATTATCTGAAGGAAAGTTTTGGTGCCCTCTCCTGTGGGAACCTGAGGGTGGTCAAGAAGGCAGATTGTTCTCCATCCTGGAGCTTGGAGTGGAGACAGCTACCCCTTCCTCAGGTAGCCCATATGGTGGGGACCAGGTGTGCTCCTCCCACTGAGATAAGGGACAGCTGGCCACGGATGGCTCCTGGTCTCTCGGGACCAGGGTGGAGGGACAATTTTTCCTTAAGTTGCTGGGTGTGTTTGGCCTGCAGAGGCAGGCCAGGTTACCTGCTCACCTCACCTGGGAAGCTACTGTTGGCCCCTAGAGGAGTGGGAGGCCTGGCCCTTCTCCTGGGCCCAGCTCTCTGGCCACATGACTGCACTGAGGTACCAGGCTTCTCAGGCCTTAGTATCCTGTTTTGTCGAGTGTGTCTGGCAAGTCCTTGTGGGTCAAGGAGGAGAGCACACTTTGCACAGGTGGCAGTAAGTCTCTGCTGCATTCCTATAGAGTGGTGGGACCCTCCCCCCTGTCCTGCATCTTTAGGCCTCAGGGAGGATTTGGATGGGAGCTGCAGACATGCATATGGCTGGTTTCTGGACTCGGCCTCTGATCTGACTGTTCTAGGCAGACATACCTCTGTGATAAGAGCCTCAGTCTCTAATTCTTCAGGTGCAATTTTCAAGTCAAGCTCTTCTAATTACTCACCTGTTTCTCTGTGAGATCACAACCATATAGGCTAGAATGTGTATCTTCATTTCTGTGCGTTTGTTTGGCACATGTTGTTGGGGTGCTCACCATTGACCAGGTACTGCCTGTTCTTGCTCTAGCAGCTCATGTTTTTGCTTAGCATGTAGAGAAGGAGATGGTTGGTGATTGAATGAATCAAAGCAAGCAAAGCAAGCAAGCAAGCATGTACCTTGAGTGTTCTTATAAGTCAGGGCTTCTGAGGGCAGGAATGTCCACTTTATCTTGCCTCATGCAGAAGGTGTATGTAGTGTAACAGGAAGAAGGAGGTTATATTAGGTTGATGGCTGTCGTCACAACTGGAGGTCTGGTTTCTGCATTGAGGTTGGAAATGTATTATTGTATTTGAAAAGATTTCTTTAAAATAACAGCTTTATTGAGATATAGTTTGTGTAACATATAATTCACCTGTTGAAAGTGTAAAAGCCAGTGGATTTTAGTATATTTACAGAGTTGTGCAACCATCGCCAGTGTCTAATTCCAGAACACTTTAATCACCCTCAAAAGAAATCCCATCCTCATGGGCAGTCACTCCCATTCTGCCCTCCCCTGGCCATGGCAGCCGCCAGTCTGCTTTCTGTGTCTATGGATTTACCTATTTTGCACGTTTCATATACATGGGATTGTACGGCATGTGACCTTTCGTGTCTGGCTTCTCTCACTCAGCATAATATTTTCAAGTTTCATCCACATTAGCATGTATCAGAGAATTTCATTGCCTTTTTTTTTAAGATTTTATTTATTTATTCATAAGAGATAAAGAGAGAGAGAGAAGCAGAGACACAGGCAGAGGGAGAAGCAGGTTCCATGCAGGGAGCCTGATGTGGGACTCGATCCCGGGTCTCCAGGATTACGCCCTGGGCCGAAGACAGGCACTAAACCGCTGAGCCACCCAGGGATCCCCGTTTCATTGCTTTTATTTTATTTTTTTTTTCATTGCTTTTAATAGCCAAGTAATACTCCATTGAATGCGTGGAGCACATTTGCTTATATGTCATCTATTGATGGAGTTAGAAAAGACTTGTAAAATATGCAGACAGTCATTCTCTCAGTCCTGGTAACCATTCTCTGTTTCCTTCCTCCCTCTCTGTTACCTTCCTTTATACTGGGAGTTGGGCGTGACCCTGGGCAGAGGTGAGCTTACACTGGATCTCATGAGACAGAGCAGTGTTCCATACGGGGGGTGATTCTGTCCTGCAGGGACATTAGGCAATGTCTGGAGACATTTTGGTTGTTTCGTCTGGGGGAGGGGGTGCTACTGGCATCTAGTGGGTAGAGAACAGGGTTGCTGCTCAACACCTCACGATTCATGGATGGCCCCCACCACAGAGAGTGATGCGGTCCTAAACGTCAGCAGTGCTGAGGCTAAAAACCCTTCAGTCTGGAGGAGATGTTGAGTGGGCAGGGGTACAAGCCTTGTACCTGGGCAGATAGAGTTCAGAGCTCTGTACCCACTTGTATGGCTGTGGCGTCTTGGATGGGCTGGTGGCTTTTCTCACACCTGGGACCAAGTTGAGCAAGCTCTTTACAGGCCTGTTTGGCTGTTGCATGTGATGAGTGGCACATCTGCAGTGCCTGGTGCAGGTGCAGGTGAGCGAACCCACCTGATGCAGGCTCCCTTTCTGCCCTCCTGTGGCTGCAGCCTTCCCCTGTAATATATGCCAAAGTTTTACCTATACCTGTGAACAGGTGGGATGTGGTTGGTTTAGTACCTGCTTCTTCTCATGAATTCTTTAGGGTAGCATACTTACTCTTGGAATGAGTAGAGCCTTAATTCATGCTCCCGTGTGTCAGTCTGCAGTTCTTGGTGGTGATAGGCAAGCCATTACTGTGTGAAAGCCAGTAATCATTCAGCCTGATGCATAAATCCATGCTGTGATCTTACCCAGGGGCAGGGACCCTAAGCAGTAGGTTAGGTGTGGACGTGAGGTGTGATGTCAGAGAGACCCCTTTAAGTTGCAGGGAAGAGGAGTGGCTATATGGATATTCCATTCTTGTCTTGAGACTTGGGAGAGCCCAAGATGCCGGGAGAGCTGTGGTGCTCTGCTGTGTGACTTTGGGCAGTTGTCTTAACCTCTCTGGGCCTCAGAATCCTGACCTCTGAGCTTGGGGCAGCACATTTCAGGGACTATCCAGGGACTACGTTGGGTGCTGGGGAAACAGCATCTGAGGCATGTGAGGGCCACAGTCTTGGAGAGCTGGTGAATTTTTAGTGGGGACAGGTGAGTTGCTGCAAATGAACAACACAGATGTTCTCAGAGGGATGCAACAGAGTGATGTGTTGGGAGTGGCCAGGGTGGGAAGCTGGTACTCTAACAATGAGATGCAGCCCCACTCCCTCTCACTCGGGAAGAGTGCCCCAGGTGAGGGACAGGCAGGCACAGAGGCCCTGAAGTGGGAAAGGCTTGGCGAGGTTGAGGCTACATCATAAGACAGTGAGGCTGGCCTGTGGAGAAGCAAGTATTGGAGTGAGGTTGGAGTGACTTGGCGAGCCTGGATTTCACTGAAGGAGGAGCCCTGCGGAGGTTTGTGATGGCAAATGGCCTCCTCCTTTGCTTTATTGAGGTACGATTCCGAATACATTCAATCTCCTCCTTGAAGTATACCATTCGGTGTTTTTTTTTTTAATTTTATTTATTTATTTATTTATTTATTTATTTATTTATTTATTTATTTATTTATTTATTTATTTATTTATTTATGATAGTCACAGAGAGAGAGAGAGAGAGGCAGAGACACAGGCAGAGGGAGAAGCAGGCTCCATGCACCGGGAGCCTGATGTGGGATTCGATCCCGGGTCTCCAGGATCGCGCCCTGGGCCAAAGGCAGGCGCCAAACCGCTGCGCCACCCAGGGATCCCCCATTCAGTGGTTTTTAGCACGTTCACAGAGTTGTGTGACCATCAGCAGTCAACTTTGGAATGTTTCCGTCTCCAAAAGGAAGCCCCACGCCTCCTCCCCCAGCCCCTGGCACCCACTAATCTGCCTTCTGTCTCTATGGATTTGTCCATTCTGGACATTTCATATACATGGAATCATGAAACATGTGGTCCTTCGTGTCTGGCTTCTCTCCCTCAGCACGATGTGTTCAAGGTTCATCCACATTGTAGTGTGTGTCAGTGCTTCGTTCTTTTTTTTAATTGTGGTGTTATATATATATATGTATAAAATATTTATAAAAAGTATATAAACAAATATATGTATCAAAAAATTCACCACCTTCACCATTTTTTAAGTGGGCAGTTTTGTGGCATTAGGTACATTCACAGTGTTGGGCATGTGTGTCATTTCTTTTTTAAGGCTGAATAATACTCCATTTTGTGGCCCTGCCACATTCCATATATCCATCCATCAGTAGACATTTGGGTTGTTTCCACCTTATGGCCACTGTATCACTGCCATGGACGTTTGCGCCCAGGAGCTTGTGTGGGTGCAGGTCTTCTTCTCCCTTGAGTATATACCGAGGAACGGAGGTCACGTGATAGGTGCCAGATCATAGAGTGACTGTCCATTTAACCATCTTAGGACTCTTCCTGTCTCACAAAGATGGCTGTGAGCTGAACAGGCAAGGAGGTAA